ATAACCAGATCTGACCTGGAGATACATGATCTTGTGTTAGAAACTGTCTTTATGGCTATAATTGATGATGATAGAACGTTGTAGCTGTTAACTGGAGCTAGCTCGTGCCGGGAGCAAAGCCACTTGCTTTCCTTTGACAAAGACTGCGAGTTCTTCGGGTGCGACCACCATATTTAACCACTTCTGCAGTTCTTCGCCTTCTACTTTCTCTTTCTCTGCACCAAAACATGATATTTAATCAACAGAGTCAGCTAAACTCAAGCCAAGCTGGGGACGATAGCAATGTAGGGATGATATCTTATACATTGTCTTACACTTTTTCGAAAACTGGTTTGATGGAAGTAAATAAACTTATACCATCTGGCAGTTGATTACCTTCAAGTTGAGCACCAAGTCCTTCCAATACATCTGGATTAGCGCGTACAACAGACAGTGCAACATCGAGAGCAGATTGTAACAGATTTGTCACTTCTCTTTGAACAAGATCAACAAGTTTACCCTGTGTATTAATATCGAAGGTTAACTTTTTCCGTTCTTTCAAGGGATACCTTAGAAACCTAGGCAAGTGCAATGCAAGATGACATTACCTGATCTCTTCCCCATGGTGAGCCTCCAGAGTCGTCAATCCCACCACCAGAGAGTGTAGCCACAGACACGGGTCCAATTTTCTGGTTGAGACCATATTCAGCTACAGCCTTGTATGCCATATCAGTTGCCCGCCTGATATCATCAAATGCACCTGTTGATACACGCCCCGAGTATACAACTTCTTCAGCTGCACGACCTCCAAGAAGGGTAACCAAACGTCCAAGCAGCTCATCAATGAAGAGCAAATATCTGTCTTCACTAGTAGGAGGAATGTATGTAAAGCCCAATGCCCCTCCTGATCTTGGCAATATGCTTAATTTCTAAGAACACAAAGAAAAAACAAAAACTTGAATCATTTGCACATATTAGCATATAGCATAAGCACAGGTAGGTGTATTCAGCCTCTCCAAGCAGCAGAAACTATGAGCGTGCATGTCTAAAATGCTTTTGTTGTTTACCTCAACACGTGGCTGTCCAGTAAGAAGTTTTGCAACAGCAGTACCAACCACTGCATGCCCAGCCTCATGCCTTGCCACCACCCCCTTCTCACTGCCTTTTAATCTTGCAGTTTTCTTCTCTATGCCCTGGAAAAGAAGCATTGTAAATAAAACATTTGACGAAATGCTTGATGTACTCAGTAGAAAAGAGAGGATAGATAGATACCGCTATCGATCGCTCCACAGCTTGAATGAAGTCAATTTTGTCAACAGTTGTCTTGCTCTTTCTTCCAGCTAGCAAGGCAGCCTCATTTACCAAGTTTGCAAGGTCTGCCCTGCAAAATTGGATAAAAGAGTTTATGAGATACACACTACAACTAAAGAATTTCATATCAAGGATGACATACAAAGGCGTACCCCGTAAAACCAGTGGTCATCGAGGCAATACTACTAAGGTTGACGTCACCTCCCAAAGGAAGCTCTTTCTTTGTCACGTGCACTCTCAAAATGGATTCTCTTCCAATTTTGTCTGGCGTTTCCACCTGAAAATGCATCAGTACCTTTGAAAGATTCTAAAACTGCCTAACCATTAACAAATATGCAGAGTTAGTCCATTCTACCAACCGTAACAACACGATCAAATCTCCCAGGACGGCGCAGGGCCGGGTCTAAGACATCAGCACGATTTGTAGCTCCAAGAACAATAACCGCAGAGCTGCTGTCAAAGCCATCCATCTCCTGCAAACGAGTTTCCAACATGTGAATGTGTCATGGAAAAATAAACAATGCTACTTAGGCAGAAAAGTCCATGATCACAGACTTACAGTGAGCAGCTGATTCAAAGTTTGCTCCCTTTCATCATTATTCGCAAGTCGGAATTTACCATCACGGCTTTTTGCCACAGCATCTATCTGGAGCATGAAAGGAAAATAGAAAATCTTGTTTAAGATGCCCAGAGGTGTAAGGTACTGGAAATAATCTGACATCAACTACCTATTCTAACCTCATCAATAAATATAATTGATGGAGCTTCCTTCTTGGCCCGTGCAAAAAGATCCCTTACGCGTGAGGCACCCATGCCAACATACAGCTCTACAAACTCACTTGCAGAGCAACTTATGAAGGGGACTTCAGCTTCCCCAGCAACAGCCTTTGCAAGAAGGGTTTTTCCTGTTCCCGGAAGACCAACCTGCAAAAGAAAAGAAACAAAGGCATTGAAAGGAGAGCACTTGTAATCAAAACGTTTACCCATG